GGGGGAGGAAGGCAGGATGAGGGAAAGCTGAAGACACTGAGGGTGACCTGGAGAGGAGAGATGTCTCAGACACACAAAACCACACAGAGATGGGGAGGTGGACCTACAGAGAAGTATCCAGAGACATGCCCAGAAGGAAGCGTGGAGACTTGGAAGCTTGCACAGCGGACAGGACGGGAATGACCCATGTCTTTGGTTTTGTCTTCAGGATTCAAGAAGTATTTATTGAGCACCAACCTGTTCTAGACCCAGGCTAGGCCTAAGGAATGTGCTGGTGGGCACTCAAGGTCTGGCTCTCCTGGGGAGCCCTACGTTTGGACAGATACGGGACGGGACGGGACAAGCATTTGGGTCACCAAAGGCAGCACAGAAGCTCAGGTGGGGGGGTACAGGTTTGGGAGGAGCCCCCCGCCGCCCCCCCCCCCGGCAGGCAGATTAACAGGGTTGAGTAAATCCGGGTGAGGTCAGAGCGCAGGCTGGGCGCCCAGCATGTAGGGTCTAGTAGTCCAGCGAAGAAATCTGCATTTATTCTACACTTCACGGGAGGCCTTCAGAGGGTTTTGAGCACATGCATGACATCATACTTTTATTTTTAACAACAACAACAACAACAGAACAGAACGGCATGGTTGTGCTGAGAATAGATTTAGGAATGAAACGTGGAAACAAGGAGTTAGGGACCGTTGTCCTTGTCCAGCTGAGGCTGACGATGGCCTGGACCGAAGTGGCGTCAGTGAGGACAGAGAGAAACGGAGGAATGGGGCCCGGATTTTGCAGGTAGAGCCCACAGTGGTGGGGAGGGATACGAATGTAGCAGGACGAAGAAGGAATGAGAAGTCAGACTGACAGAAAGAGGGACTCTCTTTGTTTTTTTTTAAGTTTATTTATTTTGAGACATAGAGCAAGCAGGGGAGGGGCAGAGAGAGAGAGAGAGAGAAAGAGAGAGAATCCCAAGCAGCTCCGCACTGTCAGTGCGGAGCTCAATGAGGGGCTCGAACTCACGAGCTGTGACATCATGACCTGAGCTGAACCCAAGAGTGGACGCTTAACTGACTGAGTCACCCAGGCGCCCCAGAAAGAGGAACTCTTAATTGGGCTTGCGCAGATTACATGATGCTGTTGTTTGTTGCCTAGAAGGGCCCCCCCCCCTCCCCCGGGGGCAAGGAATCAGAATTTGGGTGGTAGGGACCAAGCGTCCTTCTTTGGACCTGTCAAGTTGGAGATGCCTGCTAGAAACCCAAGTCTGGGTATCCGGTAACCAGTTGGATATGCAGGCCTGGGGGAGAGGCCATGGCTAGAAATATAAGTTTTGGAAACGTCAGCATATAGGAGATATTGAAAGCCATGGGGCTGGACGAGGTGACCCAGGGGGAGAAGGTGGACAGAGAAGTGACCCTGGCTAGTGCCTCAGGGACATCTGCAACAGGGAAGAAGAGGATGTAGCAAAGGGAGCCACAAGGGGTGACGATGAGGTAGGCGGAGGCCAGGAGGAAGTGGCCAGACGTGCTGAGAACTGGGCCAAGAAGGGGACTGCTAGGTCTGACCTGGTAAGAGGTCATCTCAGTGCAGTGGTAGGGACCGGAGCTCTGCTTGGTGGCAGTGTGTGTGGGGCGGGGAGAAGCCCATCTTCTTGGCATGAAAACAATAAGAGCTTTTATACCAAAGAAAGTTCATACCCTTTCTGGGAAAAGAGGGCAAGGGGATGGAAAACAGAAAAATACACTCTGAAATAAGAACTGTTAGAGCACGCAAGATGCAGGATGGTGGGAGGTGGGCCAGGAGGGCAAGATGGATTCAGGCAGGACAGACAGACATGCCTCACCGGCTGTGTCTGCTCAGAATGCTCTGGTTCCCCTCTCGGCCCTGTCAAGGCCCGGGGAAACCCAGTGAGGGGAAGCAAGGAGCAGGTGGGACTCAGTTAAGGACTTCTGGGCCTTCCAGGTGCCGGGCAGCGTCATCTCCGAGTTGCAGGTCAGGAGACAGGTGGCCGGGCCAATGAGAAGGCAGAGGGAGTTGTTACCTGATGGGGCACAGCTTGGGAGGATATGCCTGTGTGTCACCATCTCACTTCATCCATCCATCCCTCCCTCCCTCCCTCCCTCCCTCCTTCCATGCATCCACCCTTCTATCCATCCATCCATCGCTCCCTCCATCCCTCCATCCATCCATTCCTCCCTGCATCTGTCCATCCACTCATCCAATCACCTAATGCACATCTGAGGCCTCTGTGCACCCAGCCCTGGGCTGGGCGGTGTTGAGGACACGGAGCTGGGTTCCTCCTGTACCCCGCCCCTGCCCCAGCCCGGTGGGAGAGCCAGACACAGACACACACAATCACACCAGAGTGACTCATGCTCCAATACAAGCAGCACAGGGCACTGTGAGCGTCCAGAGCAGGGTGGACAGATAGGGCCAGGGTGCACCAGAGCAACCAGCCACAGACCAAGGAGTTGGTGAAAGGTGGGTCCCACCTGGCCTGTGCGCAGAAGGGCTGAGGGAGGGGGTGATGGGGTGAAGATCAGGCCCTGCTGCCATTCCACATGGCTGTCCCCGTCCTGGCCCCTGGGGGACCTGAAACTGCATGGAAGGTCCCCCGGGGGTGCCCTGTCTAATAAACTCAATGATGAGGACTGTGGCTCTGGTTCCAGTGCCTCTGACACCCAGCCCTTTTCACTTCTGGGGAGTTGAAGACAACCAGCACCATATCAGCTTTATCCATCAAGATCCAGGGAGCTGGGACCCAGCCTTCTGCCCCAGGGGTTCAGGCTCCTCCCTCAGACCCAGGAGTCCTGGCCCCCAGCCCCATCCTCCTTCAGGCCCAGGTGTCCTGGCCCCCAGCCCCTCCTCCCTCAGACTCAGGAGTCCAGCCCCAGCCCCTCCTCCCTCAGACCCAGGAGTCCAGACCTCAGCCCCAGGGGTCCAGACCCCAGCCCCCTCCTCCCTCAGACCCAGGAGTCCAGACCCCCAGCCCCTCCTCCCTCAGACCCAGCAGTCCTGACCCCCAGCCCTTCCTCCCTCAAACCCAGGAGTCCTGACCCCCAGCCCCTCTTCCCTCAGATCCTGGAGTCCTGCCCCCACCTCTCTCGGACCCAGGAGTCCAGGCCCCCAGCCCCTCCTCCCTCGGACCCAGGAGTCCTGCGCCCAACCTCTCCTCCCTCGGACCCAGGAGTCCTGGCCTCCAGCCCCTCCTCCCTCAGGCCCAGGAGTCCAGCCCCCCAGCCCCTCCTCCCTCAGACACAGCAATTAAGATTCCCAGCCAGGCCCGCTCCCTCTCCGGCCACCCTGGAGATGGGACCCGCGGCTCACACGCTTGCCCCTTAAGGGGGTAAAAGTCCCCCCAGGCTCCAGCCGGGCCAGGACCCCGCCCCTAGGCCCTCCTCCCGGGACAGCCTCCCGCCTCCCCCCGCGTCCCCTTAAAATACCCGGGGTCCCTATGGCAACAGGCGCTGGGCGACAGGTGCGGGTGTTATTTACGGGTCGAGCCTGAAATAGCCCGGGAGGGCGAGGGGGTGGGTGGCTGGGTGGCTGGGGCCGAGGCCGGAGGGAGCGCAGCGGCGCGTCCGGGCCGAGCAGGCGGTGGCGTGCAGGACAGGCCGGCTGGGAGGCGGCGCGGAGCTGGGGCCGGCGCGGCGCGGAGGCAGGAGAGCGAGACGGGGCCCTGCCCGGGAGCCCGGGGCGGGAGGCCTGAGGGGGGCGGCGGGCCTGGAGCTGAGCCTGGAGCGGTCCCGGCCCCGCCGGCCCTGGGAGCCCGGGGGAGGGGGAGCCGAGTGATCCCGAAGGGACGCCGAGTCCCTTCCGTGTCCCCGTGGTCCTTTGAACCCCGGGGAGGGGGGGTGGGATTGCGTCCCTGTTTCCTGAGCCGCTGCGGGGGACCACAGCCCCTCCTCCTGACCCGGATTGGGACCCCAGGCCCCCCTCCTGAGCCCCGGGGGCGTCCCCCAGCCCCCTTCTCCGGACCCCATTATGTCTCTGAGCCAGCAGTCCCCTGTCTGAGACCCAGGGAGACTTTCTCCGACCTCTCTTCCCCGAATGGCCGGGGAGACACCCACTCCCTTCTCCTGGTTTCCAGCAGGCCGCCCGCCCCTTCTCTGAAGCCCAGCCGGCAGTCTACAGCCCCCTTCTGTGAATGTTGGGGAGGAGCGTCCTACTGCCTCTCTGAGACCCAGAAGGAGTTCTGACCTGTTCTGAACCCCAGTGGGGACCCAACTTCTCCCTGAGCCCCAGAGAAACCAGGAGGCATCTCCTCTCCAATACATAGAGGGCCTCGGCAACCCTCCCTGGGTACCCCAATCTCTGAGCCTTAGTGGGGTGCTCAGAGCCCGTCCCCCAGGACACCCAGTTTCCTGGAGATTGCTCCCAGTGGGGACCCAGAGCAGCCCCTCAGAGGCTCAGCTAGTACCCAGTTCTCCTTTCTCCCGGGCCCTCAGGCGCCCCTCCTGGATACCCAGCTTCGAGCTCTGGGCCTTGGGGGTACCTTGCTTTTCTTCTTGGTCCCACCCTCCTCCCGGAGTTTCTGTGGGCTCCCTGGGGCCTCCCCTGAACTTAGAGGGTTCCTGGGCCAGAAGATCTATTTTGTTGTCTTCCAAGCTCCAGAGGCGACCTCCTCTCCCCCACTGGAGATTCCAGGGGAAGATCCCGACCTTCCTTTCTCAGAATCCAGTGGAAAGTGAGCCCCTCGCTTCCTTCAGCACCCCACTTGTTCCAACCGCCCCCCCCCCCCCCCCCCCGCCCCGGGCCACCCTCGGGACTCTGCCTCCTTTGCACCTGCTCGGCTACGGCCCCGAGGATGATGATGTGGTCCAACTTTTTCATGCAAGAGGAGGACCGGCGGCGGCGGGAGGCGGCAGGCCGGCGGCGGGCTCTCGGGCAGCACCAGTCCCGGCTGACGCCGGAGCGGGAGGGAAAGATCAAGCTGGGACTCCTGCTGAGCGCGGTGGGCGCCACGCTGGCCGTGCTGGCCGTGGGCACCGAGTTCTGGGTGGAGCTCAACACCTACAAGGCCAATGGCAGCGCGGTGTGCGACGCTGTCCACCTGGGGCTCTGGAAGATGTGCACCAAGCGACTGTGGCAGGCGGACGTGCCCGCGGGCAGAGACACCTGTGGCCCCGCGGAGCTGCCCGGAGGTGAGAGGCCACGCCCCCGGGCCGGGGATTGTTCCCAGAGACAGCGAGAGTGGGCGGAGTCAGGGAAACGCGAGCCCCAAGGAGAGAGCAGCCCAAGCCTACACCAACCTGTGCTCCCCGAGTAACCTTTGCTCCAGGCACCAACTGTGTGTGCTGGGGGGCGGTAGTTGGGGGCTGGGGGGGGGGGGGTGGGAGAGAAAGTCTGTACTTGCAGACTAGTCTGTGTACCGGCCATCCTGTCCACCCCCCTCCCCAGCAGTCTGTCCGCAGCTACATCCTGTACCCCCAGACTAGCCTGTACCCTAAAACTCGCCCAAACCCTTAGACCAGCCTGTGCCCCTAGAGAGAGAGAGAGTTTGGGCTCCCGGGGTCAGCTTGCTTTTCCCACATTGGAGACAGGCCGCACTCCTATCCCGTGGGCCCCGGGGAGACAGATCACCTTAATGCCAACCCCAAAATGAAATCTGTGCCGGACCCCCACGGCCGATATTGCCAAACACAGCTCTCACCGAACATCCCCCGCCCCCCCCCCCCCCCCCGCCCCGGGGAGACCTCGTGCTTCTGGGAGATGTGCTTTTCCATTTCCTGGTCCTGTCACCTGCAGATGCCCAGACCTGACCCTCCAGCCCTTTTTATTTTCTCTTCCAGACACCCCACACCCCACACGGTCCCGCAGAATGGCCTTTCATCCGTGGCAATGCCACACAGCTATCCCATACCCCTCGCTCTCCCGGACAGGACATGCCATGCCGTTTACGTGCACCATTGGGACATCCTATACCCCCTGGGAACGGGAATGGGCTCTTGCACCACACGTACTGACCCAAGGAAACTATCTGACACCCCTCACGGTCCATGTAGGGTGTCCCAGGCTTGATCACCCATGTGAGATCTCCAAACAGTGTCCTATAACCTCAGTGCCTCCCACAGAAGATCTCCTATCCCTCTGGGCTCCAATGGGATTTCCCCCCTCACTTATCCACACATGCTATCTTCCACCCATAGGGTCCCAAATAGGACATCCCAAATGCTTGATAGCAGAGTGGGAGACCCCCACCCCTCGTCATGTGAGGTACCCACGCACTCAGCGTCCAGATTCAACACCTCACTGCTGCAGATGGGCTACTTTTTTGCCCCTCACAGCCTCAAGCAGGAAGTTCCCAAACTTTTGCAAAATGGGGTGCCCTGGCAATAATATGCTTATGTAATATGCTTCGATGCTTACGTAGCACCCAGGCTCTGTTTGAAGTACGTCATGTGCATTAACTCGTTAATCCTCATATCCTCCTAGCAACCTTATGAATAGTTACCATCATCCTCATTTTAGAGAAACCAAACATGAGGAGTAAGGAATGGAAGTGGTTCCATCTATGCACCAGGCTAGTCATATGGGATTTGAACCTGGCTGTCCCGGTTCTTCACAATTGCACTATATCGCATCCCAGGAGTCCGTAAAGATGCCCCAAAGGTCCTCGCTGCCCTATAAGGGATGCCCCCCCAACCCCACTCCATAAGGCAGGACTCCTCATATCCTTTGATGTCCCCCCTGTTGGTCAGAAAGGACTTCAACCTCCTCACAGGACCGTCTCATCATCCCACAGTCCTGACCCTCCAGAGGGGACCGTCCAAAAGTCCACAACTTCTGTTATCTCAGAAATATCCCACACATTGCCCTGTCCATCAAAGGACACCCTTAATTCCCTTGGCTACAAGTGGGGGGAGGGTGTGTGTGGCCCACCCTACTCTTTTCCAAATGGGATATGCCATCTGGAGTCTGAGACAAGATGTCCTGAATCACCGGTAGCCATGATGGGAGGCCAGACACCCCACGCTCTCTCAGAAAGATGGACCACACCTTCTTACTCTCTAGATGGGACTTCACGCTTCCCTCATGGATGAAGACCATGTGTCCCCCACTGACTGCTGCCATCTCAGCAGCATCCTCAGCCCTGCTGCAAGAGGTATCCTTTCCTCCTTGTTGCTGCAGGATTGCTGATGCTGCGGGGTAAGGACTCCCGTCCCGATGCTCCTGATAGAACACATCCTGCCCTTCTCCTTCCCTCAGAGGGCCGGTGCGGTGTCCCACTGCCTCACCTGACTCAGGACTTTATTTCTTGTCCCTCTACATCTTTCTTTGAACTGGAAGGTTCCTTTCTGCTTCTCTAGCCCGCCTGGCTCGTCTTCTTGTCCCCCTCTCATTGTCTACCCTTTCTTCCTCCCCCTTCCTGTGCCTTGGTTTCCCCATCCGTAGCATGAGAACATGGGACTAGAGGAATTTTGTGGGAAGTTCCAGCTTTCAAATGCAGTTTATATATTTTTTTAAATTTTTTAACATTTATTTATTTTTGAGACAGAGAGAGGCAGAGCATGAACGAGGGAGGGGCAGAGAGAGAGAGGGAGACACAGAATCTGAAACGGGCTCTAGGCTATGAGCTGTCAGCACAGAGCCCGACACGGGGCTCGAACTCACGGACCGTGAGATCATGACCTGAGCCGAAGTCAGACGCTTAACCGACTGAGCCACCCAGGCGCCCCTCAAATGCAGTTTAGAGAGCGCCCCAGCCTTTTTTTTTTTTTTTTTTTTAAGTTTGGGTTTATCTGGGACCTCAAAGATGGGCAAACTTTACCCTTTCATTTACATCACAAAATCATCGCCAGCCTTCTCTTGCTTTATTTTACAGTATTATTCCCCCCCCCAATTTCTTTCTATCTCTTTAACGTGTTTGATATGTATCCATCAGTATATATTTTATTTATTTTATTTCTTTTTAATTTTTTTTCAACGTTTTTTATTTATTTTTGGGACAGAGAGAGACAGAGCATGAACGGGGGAGGGGCAGAGAGAGAGGGAGACACAGAATCGGAAACAGGCTCCAGGCTCCGAGCCGTCAGCCCAGAGCCTGATGCGGGGCTCGAACTCACAGACCGCGAGATCATAACCTGAACCAAAGTTGGACGCCCAACCAACTGAGCTACCCAGGTGCCCCTGTATTTATTTATTTTTGAGAGGGGGAGAGAGAGAGAGACAGAGTGCAAGCAGGGGAGGGGCAGAGAGAGAGGGAGACACAGAATCGGAAGCAGGCTCCAGGCTCCGAGCCATCAGCCCAGAGCCTGACGCGGGGCTCGAACTCACGGACCGTGAGATAGTGACCTGGCTGAAGTCGGACGCTTAACCGACTGCGCCACCCAGGCGCCCCATCAGTATATATTTTAAGTTGGAAACTATACAGTGTTATTTTACATCTGTACGTGTTTTAATTTACATAAATGATATTGCGCTGTGGATTGTCCCCATTTGTGATTTACTTATTTATCGATCTATTTGCTCAACGCTCTTTCTCGGATCTCCCCACTTTGCTTTCTGCTCTTGTAGTTCATGGCTACTGCATGGTGCAGAGATTTGCACAGAGGGCATCTGCCCCATTTTCTTGATCCCCCTGAGATGGGCACTTAGGTTGATTCCGACTCCCTGTTCTTACAAACAGTGCTGCTACAATCATCCACACATATGTTCCTGCCTGTAGTGTTTCTCTGGATGTAGACCCAGAAACGAAATTGTTGGGTTATAGGGTATAAACGTACCTCGTTTCATAAAGGATGTCAGAGTGCTTTCCAGAAAGACATTAGTGCCAGTTTCTGGTCCCCAGCTGTTTCCTCTTATTCTTCCAGTGCTTGATATTATCCTTTTAATATTTGCCAATCTAATTGATCTAAAGTGCCCTCTCCCTGCTGATTTAAGTTGCATTTCTGTGATCCCTGGTGAGGTGAAGCATCTCTTCATATACTTGTGAGTCATTCAGACTTCTTCTTCTGTGAATTGACTATTCCTGTCCTTTGCCCATTTATCAATTGGGTTTCCTCTCTTTTCTTGCTGGTCTCCAGGTGTTCTTTGTGTGTTCTAGTTAGGAACCCTCTCTGGGATGAGAATCTCCTCTGAGTCTTTTAGCCTTCTGTTCCCTCTATCTTGGTGTCCTTTGTTGAATAAAGTGATCATCCGTTTCTAATCCCACTTGACCCCTTAACAAACCCATCTGATGAAGCCAGGAAAGAGACTATTATCTCATTTAAAACTTTTTCTTAAACGTTTATTTATTTTTGAGACAGAGAGAGACAGAGCATGAACGGGGGAGGGTCAGAGAGAGAGGGAGACACAGAATCTGAAACAGGCTCCAGGCTCTGAGCGGTCAGCACAGAGCCTGACGCGGGGCTCGAACTCACGGACCGTGAGATCGTGACCTGAGCCGAAGTCGGACGCTCAACCAGGTGAGCCACCCAGGCGCCCCCTAGTATCTCATTTTATAGAGAAAGATTCAGAGGCTGCGGAGAGGTCAACAGCCTTCACAAGGCCACAGATCTGGACCTCTAGGCTCCAGACTGGAATCCCAGCTCCTGTATAGCTGGATGATGGCAGGCGGGTTTTGTTTCTCTGAGCATCATTCTCTCCTGTGTATATCAGGGATGCTGATATCCTACTTTTAGGCTGCTGGGACCTCTGTTAAATGCCCAGCCCTGAGCTTACGCCAGCAATGTCTGTATCATCACCTCTCTTTTTCTCTCCTGCTCCCACAGAAGCAAACTGCACCTATTTTAAATTCTTTACCACGGGGGAAAATGCACACATCTTCCAGAGAACTACAAAGAAAGGTGAGAACCACCCTGTGGTGGGGTGGTGGGGTGGCGGGAGGGGTACGCGGATAGCATGGTCTTCCTCTCTGCTTTGCCCTGGGGTGGCAGGAGGGGATAGGGGAGGTCCCATCTTTGGGGGAAAGAGGTTCTCCAGAGCCCTGTGCCTGATGCTCCTACCCCAGCTCCACCTTTGTCATGAGCTGTGTGACTTTGGGGCAGCCACAGCCCCTTTCTGGGACTTTCTTAAAGATGTCCACCTGCCACATGCTAAGCAGAGTGCTGAGTGTTTCATTGATAAGAACTCCAGTCCTTGCCATGACGCTGCAGGGCGGTGGCTTCATCTTGTGGATGAAAAAACGGTAGTCTAGAAAATGGTTACATTTACTTTTTCCAGAAGGGGCAGAGGCAGAATCATCCCAAATAATCCTGACTCCAAAGCAATGCTCTCCTGTAGAATCTTCCGTGAGATGGAAATACTTGGTACCTGTGCTGACCGATGTGGTAGCCACTAGCCCCATGTGGCTGCTGGGCGCATGTGGCTGGTGTGATGCAGAGACTAAGTTTTTAAAATTTCGTTTCAATTTGGGGCACCTGGGGGGCTCAGTCGGTTGAGCGTCCAACTCTTGATTTTGGCTCAGGTCACGATCCCAGGGTTGTAGGATTGAGCCCTGCGTCAGGCTCTGCGCTGACAGCTCGGAGCCTGGAGTCTGCTTCGGATTCTGTGTCTCCCTCTCTTTCTGCCCTGCCCCCACTCGTGCTCTGTCTCTCCCTCTCTCTCCCTCAAAAACAAGTAAGCATTAAAAGAAAAAAAGGCTATACCCTTTCTTGGGAGCCTGGGTGGCTCAGTCGTTTAAGCGTCTGACTCATGGTTTTGTCTCAGGTCATGATCTCACAGTTCACGAGTTCGAGTCCTGCAGCAGGTTCTCTGCTGTCAGCACAGGTTTTACCCTTTCTGCTATAACCACAGCCTCTCCGTCACCCCAGTACCTCAGTGTCCATCCACACCAGTAAAGAGATTGTGGTCATGTCATGACTCCTATCCAGCCTCTGTAAGGGTTTAATGAGATGATACAGCTGAAACGTACAGTGTGATGCCTGGCACATAGTAGGCCCTCAGTCAACAGTGGTTCCACCCTCCCTGCTCCTTTCTGTCTTGTCTTTGTGCTAAGTGAGTTTGGACAAGCCACTGTGCTTCTCTGGGATAGTGAATAATCACAGTGCACGTGTATAGCACAGCTCCTGTGTGCTAAGCACTTCACTGGGTACTTTTTATAAACTAATTCTAATCCGCACAACAGGCCAGTCAAATAGGGATTTTGATCCTGATTTTCTAGAGGAGGAAACTGGGGTTCAGAGAAGTTTGGTGACATTATTATAACCTTCCAGCAAGGCAGTGGCTGTACAGAACTCAGACTTGGATCATTTCACTGTAACAAACTACCTTCTCTGTTGTCACCCACATGCTCACTGCCTCAGTTTCCTCACCTGTAAACAAACAGTGACCAGATCCCAAGGAATAATTGGTAGTTCCCATTTCTTTCTAATCCTGACCCTGTCTCCTCTTTGCTTTGTGGCCTCAGGCAAATCACTGAGCCTCTCCGTGTCTTAGTTCCTTCAACAGTGTAAGTAAAATATTGGACTGAACGATGTACTTGAAAATTCTCTAGTTCTGAATCTTCCGTCTTCCTGGTTTTGGGTCTCTATAGGGGAGTCCTTCCCACTTCCTCCCATGTTCTCTACTTCTTCCCTTTACTCTCCTTGCAGAGGTGAATCTGGCAGCTGCCGTGATAGCAGTGGTAGGCTTGGCACTCATGGCCCTGGGGTGCCTCTGTATCATCATGGTGCTCAGCAAAGGTGCAGAGTTCCTACTCCGAGTCGGAGCCATCTGCTTTGGCCTCTCAGGTGAGGGCTGGGAGCCTGGAGACTGAGGGAATTGCATGTTGGGAGGTTGGATCTCCAAGAGCTCTTGCATGCTAGGAGGTAGGGTGTCCAAGCACTGTTGCATGGTGGGAGTTTGGAACTCTAGGTAATGTTGTATGCAGGGAGGTAGAGTGTCCAAGCACTGTTGCATGCTGGGAGTTTGAATCTCCAGGGCACTGTTGCATGCTGAGAGTTGAGGGAAACCCACCGGCTGTAGTAGTCTCAAAAATGGAAGAATTCTGGGGCGCCTGGGTGGCTCAGTCGGTTAAGCGTCCGACTTCAGCTCAGGTCACGATCTCGCGGTCTGTGAGTTCGAGCCCCGCATCAGGCTCTGGGCTGATGGCTCAGAGCCTGGAGCCTGCTTCCGATTCTGTGTCTCCCTCTCTCTCTGCCCCTCCCCCGCTCATGCTCTGTCTCTCTCTGTCTCAAAAATAAATAAATGTTAAAATTTTTTTTTTTAAATGGAAGAATTCCAAGCTTTATTGTTGCCTAGAGATTAAAGGGTCTCCAAACACTATTTTAAATTTGGACCAAGGGTTTCCGAGAATTGTTGCCTGCTTGGAGGTAGAGTCCACAAACACAGTTGTACCATGGGGATTGGAGGAAGCTTAAGGGTTATAGAGGTCTCAAAGAATGGAAAATTCTAAGCCCTGCTGTCCCCAGAGGGGTCTCCAATTTGAACCCAGAGGTCTTCAATTGCTGTTACATGCTGGGAAGTTGGAGGCCATCTCCAGGCACTGTTGCTTGCTGGGAGGTTAGAGGACATCTCCAAGCACTGATGCATGCTGGGAAGTTGGAGGACAACTCTAAGCACTGTTGCATGCTGGGAAGCACCAGGACTGTAGTAGGCTCAATGTGAGAGTTCTAAGTGCTATTATTGGCTGGGAATTGGAAAGTCTTCAAATACTCTTTTAGCTTTGGAACTTAGGTCTTCAATGAATGTTGCATTCTTGGAGCTGATGGTCAAAAAAAAATTCTACATCTTGTCAATGTAGTGCTCATTGGATCAGATGTTTGCTAAGGTAGATAGAAAGGTCACTAATTATATAAGCTTCATTTGTTCATCCTCTGTGAATTTACTGAGCACTTACTATGTTCCATGCACTGTGCTAAGGGCTGGGTATATATGACTAACAAGACAGATACAGTCTGCCCCTCACAGAGCCTAGCAGAGATAGACAGTAACCAGTAATTACACATATAATAATGCAACTATAATTGTGATGAAAGTTATGATAAAGCGTATTAGGGGTAGACACTGCAGTGAGGGTGTATCAGAGGAACTCAGAGAAAGTGATATTTAAGCTGGTAATTGAAGGGTGAATAGGACTCATCCAAAGTGTGGTGGTGACAGTAGTGGTGACTATATTGATGATGTTGTCTATTGTGGTGGTGGTGGCGACAATGATGGTGGTGATGGTAGGGATGATGTGATGTTGGTGATGTTGGTGGTGATGGTGGTGATGAGGATGATAGTTAAAATGGTGGTAACGGTAGAGATGATGGTGTACTGATGGTGGTGATGGTGATAGAATAGCGATTTGACAAGTTTGAGGAACAGAATGAAGGTCAGAGCATAAAGCAGGCAAAATCTTTCACAAATGTACATGGTAACCTTAACTAACAAGTGGGGTAGACTCTAGTACAAGATAAGGGAGAAATTATAAGTCTTCACGAACATGAACATATGAATGGAAAATAATAATGATCAATTTTTATTATTTTCTTCCCTTAGAGATCTTCCTAAATAAAGGGGAAAATTCAATCATCTCCTTTCCTTTCTTTCATTTACTCATTTTATTCATTGATACACACACAGACATATTACACACTTTTGTACGTTTTTGTATATGTAATATTATCAGAATGTACAGGACAGAAAGGTGCCTTCCCTTAGGGAGATTACTGGTTAAGGACACCGAAATAACACAAATCATCCCACAATTACAAACTTCTAGGTGCTATAAAAGAAAAAGAAAAGTAGATTTCTATGAGAGTGCATAATGAGAGCACCTGATTTAAAGCAGAGAGTTAGTGAGGGCCTCCCTGAGTAACCAAGCTAGACAGAGTTTGGTGAATTTAAGGTCTTGAAAGAAAGCCAGTGTGGCTGGAGCATGGAGAGTGAGGAGAACACTGGGGTCAAAGATGGACCAGGAAATCAACAGGGAATCCAAACATCTAGGTTGGTGTCTAACTTCTGACAAGTTGTGTGATCTTGGGCAAATCTTTTATCTCTGAGCTCAAGTTCCCACATATCCATGAAGTCAGTCACCCAAGTATCCATTTGTCAAGTATCCATCTATCCATCCATTCATCCCATCTATCCCCGTCTGTCCATCCATCCATCCTTTCATTCCATCTATCCATCTGTCCGTCCATCTATTCATCCGTCCGTCCATCCATCCATCCATCCATCCATTGATTCATTTATTTCCTCCCACTCCCTTCTTCCTTTTCCATTATCCTTTCTCTTTTATCTGTTTTCTGTCTATTCATCCATCCGTCTGTCCATCCATCCATTCATCCCATCTATCTATCCATCCGTCCATCCATCCATCCATCCATCCATCCATTGATTCATTAATTTCCTCCCACTTCCTTCTTCCTTTTCCATTCTTCTTTCTCTTTTATCTGTTTTCTGTCTATCCATCTGTCCGTCCGTCCATCCATCCATTCATCCCATCTATCCATCCATCCATCCATCCATCCATCCATTGATTCATTAAATTCCTCCCACTTCCTTCTTCCTTTTCCATTCTCCTTTCTCTTTTATCTGTTTTCTGTCTATCTATCCGTCTGTCCATCCATCCATCCATTCATCCCATCTATCCATCCGTCCGTCCATCCATCCATCCATCCATCCATCCATTGATTCATTAATTTCCTCCCATTCCCTTCTTCCTTTTCCATTCTCCTTTCTCTTTTACCTGTTTTCCCTCTATTCATCCATCCAATCATTCAACAAGTATTTTTTTTATATCCAGTAGGTGCTCAATGCTGTGCTTGATACCACTGGGGATAGAATGATGAATAATATTAAGATGATCCCTGTTTTTGTAGAATTTATAGCATGGTAGGAATTTGGTTATTGAACTCATACTCGTGTTATTCCAGGGGGTGCCATGAAAGTGAGGATATAAAAGTGTTTTATGGAAGTCTCAGGCATGAAATTTTTCTGCAAACTGTACAAGCAAGTGAGAGCGAGGGGGTGGATTTGATGCTGTAAGTATTTTGGCTATATTTGGTATCAGGCCCTGGACAGATTGAATTTTCAAGATCTCCTTAAATAAAGGGACATGTTCAGATTATATTGTTTCTCTCCATGAAATATATACATCAGGTATTGTTCATGTTTTAGAGATACAAGACAGACAAGTTTCCTGCTCTCATGGATTTATGATAGCGAGGGAGCTAGCCATGGGACAAATAGACAATACTAATATAAATTAATATATGCTAATAATTACCAGCTGTGATAAATGCTACAAATGAAAATGAAAGAGTGTGGAGGAAAATCTGTAACAGGGAGATCTGATATAGACTTGAGTGGCAGTGCTTAAGGAGGGCTTCTCAGAAGTGCAATAGCAGTGATAGTAATAGCAATAGCAATAGCAATAGCAATAGTAGTAAATAGCAATAGTAATGGTAATAAAGAGTAACAGTAATAGTAATAAATAGTAATAGTAATAAATAGCAAAAGTGATAGTAATAAATAGTAATAGTGATAGTAATAAATAGTAATGGTAATAAAGAGTAATAGTAATAGTAATTAGTAATAGCAATAGTAATGGTAATAAAGAGTAACAGTAATAGTAATAAATAGTAATGGTAATAAAGAGTAACAGTAATAGTAATAAATAGTGATAGTAATAGTGATAGTAATAAATAGTAATAGTGATAGTAATAAATAGTAATGGTAATAAATAGTAATAGTAATAAATAGCAATAGTAATAGTGATAGTAATAGTAATAGTAATAGTAATAGCATTAGCAATAGCAATAGCAATAGCAGTAAATAGCAATAGTAATGGTAATAAAGAGCAACAGTAATAGTAATAAATAGTAATAGTAATAAATAGCAATAGTAATAAATAGTAATAGTGATAGTAATAAATAGTAATGGTAATAAAGAGTAATAGTAATAAATAGTAATAGTAATAAGTAGTAATAGTGATAGTAATAAATAGTAATGGTAATAAAGAGTAATAGTAATAAATAGTAATAGCAATAGTAATGGTAATAAAGAGTAATAGTAATAGTAATAAATAGTAATGGTAATAAAGAGTAACAGTAATAGTAATAAATAGTGATTGTAATAGTGATAGTAATAAATAGTAATAGTAATAGTAATAAATAGTAATCGTGATAGTAATAAAGAGTAATGGTAATAAAGAGTAATAGTAATAGTAATAAATAGTAATAGTGATAGTAATAGCAATAGTAGGGATGTGTAAGGCAGTACTCAGAGAAGGGTAAGCAGAAAATTATTCCAAGCAGCATAAAGGTCTCCAGGTTTGAAAGAATTTGGTGCATTTGTAGACTGAAAGAGGGGCGCCTGGGTGGCTCAGTCGGTTGAGTGACTGACTCTTGGTTTCAGCTCAGGTCATGATCCCAGAGTTGTGGGATCAAGCCCCACATCTGGCTCCGTGCCAAGCATAGAGCCTGTTTCAGATTCACTCTCTTCTCCCTCAGCCCCTCCCCGGCTCTCTCTCTCTACAATAAAACATACAGACTGAAAGACGTTGTACTCCCCACTATTTTAGGGTGGGAAGAGCTGGGGAGATGAGCACAAACAAGGAGGCAGGGGCCAGATCACGTAGGCCCTTCTAGGTCATACAAGGCATGTCAGGCTTGGTCAGGGAGGAAGTACAGAGACGTGTCTAAGAGAAGAAGCTATGGAGTAGACCTGGCTTTAATCAAACCTGAGCTCTACCTCTCCAGGCTTTAATCTTCCCCTCTGTAAAGTGGGGATAATAATACGT